GCAGCACAGATTTGCCGAAACATTTCAGCAAAGCTGTGCTGCAGTAGAGGGGCAAAACCAAAGGGAAAAGAAAAAGCCTGTCTAGTTCGCAAGCTCTCCGCTGAGAGCTCCTCGATCCAAAAACGCCTCTGGAACGCTCGCTCGCAAACTCTCCACTGAGAACTCCTCAATCCGAAGACTCCTCTGGGAAGAGCCCGCAACGAACTGCACCGCAAGCCGAGGCCCTCGGTGCCTTTATGAGAACTTTCTGCTGACGCTGCAGTGACCGCCCAGCGCTTCAGTGACATCCCAGCGACAGTGGCACAACAGTCCTGTGACATCACAAAACCAGCTGTTCAAGGGTCCCCACCACGCAACGGTTTCGGGTGGCTTCTTGACCTGTGGAATGTTGAATCTTGCTCTCATGTTGGAGCCTGACCTCCCGTTTTCACGGTGACTTGCCAATTTACCTGCCAATGGAAAGCTCACCTTTCCGCCTAAAACTCTTCTGGAAATCAACTCTGCTCTTCCATGAAATAATGATTTAAGGCTTAACTTGTTCTCCTGGTGCTTCTTTGAACCGATACAGAAAGCAGAGTCTCAGAAAAGAGGCTGAGAGGGTCAAAGGCTTGGATGAATTCTTTGACATGGTGTGAGGGAGGGTGGCATTTGAAAATTGATCCAACCACTGAAAGCCCTGGCTCTACACTGGAACTGTACTGATGACAAGGGGTTCAGTTGGGACAGTTGGGATGCCCCCAGGGTGAGGTGAAAACGGCGGCGAGCTGAGGCAGCAACGGCTGCAGCTGAGGCAGCAGGGCACAAGGGCTCAGATGCAAATGGCTGCAGACTGAGGCAAAAGCTCCTCCAGACCGAGGCCAAAACATTTCCAGTAGGAGGCTTCAGCAAAAATGGCTCCAGGCTGAGGCAGGATGGCCCCCAGGCTTTGGCAAAAATGGCTTGGGCTCAGGTGGGGTGGTCTCCATGCTGAGTCAAAAATAGCTGTGGACTGAGGGGAAGAGGACTGTGGGCTGAGGTGGAAACTGCTACAGGCTGAGGTGGAAACTGTTACAGGCTGAGGCAGAAACAGCTCCAGGCTGAGGTGGAAACTGTTACAGGCTGAGGCCAGAAGTGCTCCAAGATGAAGCTAAAATGACTCCAGGCTGATGCTAAATGGCTCCAGGATGAGGCAAAAATGGGTTCAGCTGAGACAGGGAGGCCCCCAGGGTGAGGTGAAAATGGCGGCGAGCTGAGGCAGCAACGGCTGCAGCTGAAGCAGCAGGGCACAAGGGCTCAGATGCAGATGGCTCCGATCTGAGGCAAAAACTCCTCCAGACCGAGGCCAAAACATTCCCAGTAGGAGGCTTCAGCAAAAATGGCTCCAGGCTGAGGCAGGATGGCCCCCAGGCTTTGGCAAAAATGGCTTGGGCTCAGGTGGGGTGATCTCTGAGCTGAGGCAAAAACGGCTCCAGGCTGAGGCGTAAATGGCTCTGGGCTGAGGCAAAAATGGCTGCAGCTGTAACTATGGACCACAAGGGTTATGGTCAAAATGGCTCTGAGTTGAGGCAAAAAGTCCTCCAAGCTGAGCCAAAAACACCAGTGGGCTGAGCCAAAAACACCTGTGGGCTGAGGCGAAAACACCTGTGGGCTGAGGCAAAAATGGCTGCCAATGAGGAGAGGCAGCCCCCAGACTACGAGGGCAGCGGGGATGGTTCTCAAACCGGGCAATGGGGTGGAGCAGGGGAAAGAGGCCAGGCACTCAGCACAGTGGCAAGGAGTCTCCCTACAGCTCCTCGGCACCACGCTGTCCCGCTC